ACAAACTAAAAATAAAGAAAATGAAAGCATTCAAATTGGAGAGGAGTAAATTGTCATTATTAAAGATGACATGATACTATATATGAAAACCTGAAAGAGTACACCAGGAAATATTAGAACTGATAAATTAATTTAATAAAGTAAAATAATACAAAGTTAATATTCAGAAATTGGTTGCATTTTTAAAAACCACTAATAACCTATCAGAAAGAGACAATAAGAAAAATATTCCTTTTAAAATTGCATCAAAAAAAGAGGTAAAAGACCTATACTCAGAAAATTATGAGACAATGAAGAAAGTAATTGGAGGAGATGCAAATACCATATTTTGCTATGTATAATGCATACTTTTTGGTCCAAAATTTTTAGGGAAAATAAGGATGCACATTATACATAGGTATATTGACTACATATCATGGGTAAAATAATCCCATGTATAATGCACACAGAAATGTGGGTGTGCATTATACAGGACATAGTACAGTCAATGGAAGCACATCCTGTGTTTGTTAATAAAATTTAACATTACAACATTCATACTACATAAAGCAATCTATGCATTCAGTACAATTCCTATCAAGATACTAGTGGCACATTTCACAGAACTAGAACTATTTCACATGAACCCTAAAATTTATATTGAACTCTAATAGCTGAATAACTAAAACAGTATAAAGAAGAACAAAGCTGGAGGAATTGCACTATAGATGTTAAACTAAACTGCAAGGTTATTGTTATTAAAACAGCATGGTACTGGCATAAAAACAGACACACCAGTCAGGAAACAGATTAAAGAGCACAGAAGTTAATTGATGCCTATTTGGTCCATTAATAATTGACAAAGAAAGCAAGAATATACAATGTGATAAAGATAGTCTCTTCAATGTTATTTTCCCAAATAACATTGGGAAAATTGGATTATTAAAAGGAAAAAAATGAAACAAGACCACTTTCTTATAAAAGAATAAGCCCAAAATGGAGACATTCAATATTAGTTTTAGGTGTACAGCATAGTGGTTAGACATATAACTTAAGAAGTGATTCCTTGATAAGTCTTACCCATCTGATAACATATCTAATTTTTACAATATTACTCTATTCCCTATGCTGTACTTTACAGCCCTGTGACCTTTTATAATTGCTAATTTGTACTTCTTAATTCCTTCATTTCCATCCATTCTCCCAACCCCCTCAAATCTGACAACCATCAGTTCTCTGTATCTATAAGCTTACTTCTGTTTTATTTGTTCATTTATTTTATGTTTCAATTTCTGCATATAAGTGAAATCACATGGTATTTGTCCTTCTGTCTGACTTATTTCTCTTAGCATAATACCCTCTAGATCCATCTGTGTTGCACACAGAATGATTTCATTCTTTATGGCAGAATAATAGTTCATTGTATGTATGTACCACTTCTTTACCAATTTTGTCTATCAGTGGAACTTACTGTATTTTGTCAGGTATAATGCTCACCCACGTTTTTGTGCACATTATACATGGGATTATTATGCCCATTATTATACCCACTGTATGTATTCATTATATTCATGTATAATGCACATCCTTATTTTTCCCTAAAAAATTTAAACAAAAAAGTGTGCATTATACACAGCAAAATACAGTAGATTGCTTCCATATCTTGGGTATTGTAAACAATGCTGTAGTGAACATAGGGATGCATATATCTTTTTGAATTAGTATTGGATTTCTTTGAATTAATACCTAAAAGTGGAATTGCTGGATCATATAGTTTTATTATTTTTTGAGGGTCCTGCATACTGATTTTCATAGTGGCTGTATCAATTTGAATTTTCACAAACAGTGGACAAGGCTTTCCTTTTCTTCACATCCTTGCCAACACTTGTTTGTTGATTTATTAATGATAGCATTTTGGTAGGTGTGAAGTGATGTCTCCTTGTTCTTATTTTAACTTTATTTCTATTGACACTATTACAGACGTCCTCTTCCTGCCTCCCCACCTTTGCCCACCTCCACCCAACCCTGTCCTCCCTTTTCTCTGGTCATCACTACACTGTTGTCTGTTTCTATATGTTATGCTAGGTTGGCTAATCCCTTTATCTTTCACCCTGTGCCTCCTCCCCTCTCCTCTGACAGCTATCAGTCTGTTCCATGTATTTATGCTTCTGTTTGTACTTTTCATCAGTTTATTTTGTTTATTAGGTTTTAATTTGTTTTCTCTGATGATAAGTGATATTGTGCATCTTTGCATATGTCTATTGGTCATCTGTATGTCCTCTTTGGAAAAATGTCTGTTAACATTCTCTGTCCATTTTTAAATCAGACTGTCTTTTTGTGTTAAGTTGTGTGAGTTCCTTGTATATTTGGGATATTAACCCCTGTCAAATGTGTAATTGGAAAATAACTTCTCTCAATCAGTCATTATTTTTGTTTGTTGATCATTTTCTTTGCTGTGCAAAAAGATTTTGGTTGATGTAGTCCCTTTTGTTTATTTTTATTTCCTTTGCCTGAGGAAACCTACACCCAAAAGTTATTAATAAAAGCAAGTCAGAGAGGTTGCTATCTATGTTTTCCTCTAGTTTTATAGTTTTGGGTCTTACATTTGTTTTTCATCCAACTGTAACCGAGAAAGGTTTTAAAAACATTCAATTAAGTCTATTGTTCAGTTTTTTTTATAATGTATTTTGTCATTACAGTTGTACCCTTCCCCCCTTCATTCCCATCCACCTTGCACACTGCCTCCCACCCACATTCCCCACACTACTCTTGCCCTTCTATTTTCTCTCCACCATCTATACTATATATTCTCTGTACCTTCTCCCAGCCTCTCCTCCTCCCACTCCCCTGTTGCTAACTTTCCATGTGATCTCCATTTCTGTAACTCCGCTCATGTTTTAGCTGTCCACTTACTTTGCTTTCGTTTTAGGTGTGGTTGTTAATAACTGAGTTTGCTGTCATTTTACTATACATGTTTTTTATCTTTTTTCTTAGGTAAGTCCCTTTAACATTTCATATAATAAGGGCTTGGTGATGATGAACTACTTTAACTTGACCTTATCTGAGAAGCACTTTATCTGCCCTTCCATTCTAAATGAAAGTTTTGCTGGATAGAGCAATCTTGGATGTAGGTCCTGGCCTTTTGGAATACTTTCCAGCCCCTTCTTGTCTGCAAGGTCTCTTTTGAGAAAGCAGCTGAGTCTGATGGGAACTCCTTTGTAGGTGACTGTCCCCTTATCTCTTGCTGCTTGTAGAATTCTCTCCTTCATTTTAATCTTGGCTAATGTAATTATGATGTGCCTTGGTGTGTTCTTTCTTGGGTCCACCTTCTTTGGGACTCTCTAAGCTTCCTGAACTTCCTGGGAATCTATTTCCTTTGCCAGATTGGGGAAGTTCTCCTTTATTCTTTGTTCAAATATGTTTTCCATTTGTTGCTATTCCTCTTCCCCTTCTGGTACCCCTATAATTTGAATGTTGGAATGTTTAAAGATGTCCTGGAGTTTCCTGAGTCTCTTCTAGTTTTTTTTTTTGAATTCTTGTTTCTTCATTCTTTTCTGTTTGGTTGTTTCTTTCTTCCTTTTGATCCACTCCATTGATTTGAGTCCCAGTTTTCTTTCCACTGTTATTGGTTCCCTTTGTATTTTGCTCCATTTCACTTAGTGTAGCCTTTATTTTTTCATCTAATTTGCACCTAAAATCAACCCATTCTGTGAGCATCCTGATCACCAGTGTTTTGAACTGTGCATCTGATAGGTAGGCTATCTCTTGGTCACTTAAAAGTATTGGCCCTGGGGCTTAGATTTGTTCTGTTTGAGCCATAATGTTTTGGTCTGGTCCCACCTGTTATGTAGTGAGGGCCAGAGCCTTAGGTGCTCACTAGGACAGGGCAACCCAGTAGCTGGATTGTGTCACTGTATGTGGGGGCAGGGTCAAAGAGGGAACAATGACACTTGTTCCACTCTCTCTCGGATTTCAGTCCCCTCTGCCACTTCCCACAAGCAAATTTGGCTCTCCTGGTGCTGGTTCCCAGGTGGGTGAGCTTGTGTACATTGTAGGACTCTGTGGGCCTCTCCAACGAATTCTCCAGTGAGGCTAGCAGTCTCTCCTGGCACCCTTTCAATCGGTGCTTTTAGGCTTTATTCCCTGGCACTGGATCCCTGGGTTGCACGGTCTGTCTTGTTGCCTGTTTTTGCTTAGTTTATCTGCACATGAATGTGTGACCGGGGTCAGCCCCACACCACCTGCGCTCCCTGGTCTGGAAGCCACTACCCTTTCCTGTCATGATCCCTCTCTGCTGGCCACTGACTCTGCCTCTCTTACTGGTCCGGTTGAATGGTTGTTGGACTTCTGTACAGTTCAATTTTCTGTCTGTTCTGGTTGTGTTTTTTGTTTCTAAATCTTTGTTGTCCTAAATTTTGGTTGTGTGAAGAGGCACAGTGTTTCCACCTATGCCTCCATCTTGGCCAAAAGCTGTTCTATTGTCTAGTCTCTTAATTCCTATTTCTAATTGTAGTGTGCTTCTCTCTTTTTTTAATTTTTTAATTTTTTTTAAAGATTTTATTTATTTATCTTTAGAAGAGAAGGGAAGGAGAGAGGGAGAGAAACATCAATGTATGGTTGCGTTTGTGCGTCCCCTGCTGGGAATTGGCCTGCAGGGAACCTGCCTGCAACCTGGGCATGTGCCCTGACTGGGAATCAAACCGTGATTGTCTGGTTCACAGGCCCGCGCTCAATCCACTGAGCTACACCAGCCAGGGCCAGTTTGCTTCTCTTGAGGTTTTATTTTGTTATTTCTAATTTCTTGACACAGATGTTTATTCATTCCTTCAACATATTCATATATGTGACAGGCCCAGACCTGACTGCTGTAGATAAGTGATGAAGATCAAGACTGTGCCCAAAGTTTACTTATTAAAGGGCATTCATTTCTTCCTGAATAGAACTTTGGTCAAACAAGTTTAGATATGCAGGCTTCTCATTAATAATCATTTCTAAGTAATCTATAATTTCAGTTTTGACACTAAACATTTTTATTGAAACTTTCAAACACATAAACAGTAGAAATATTATTACAAACCCCGATATACAAACCACTCCACTTCAGTGATTATCAACATTTTGTCAATCTACTTTCCAGTTCTTTGCCAATTTTTTTCTATTGCTGAAGTATTTTAATGTAAATCTGAATAGCTTATCATTTCATAAACATGTAAGCATATACTCTAACACACAAGAGCTCTTATTTCTTAACCACATTGATATTATCATCCCTAACAAAATTGTTTCTAAATATTATCTAACAGTCAGTGCATGTCCACATTCCCCTCACTGTCTCCAAAATCCTTTTACGTTTTGTTCCAAATAGGTCCAAGTAATGCCCATATACTATTTAGTTGCTATGTCTCTTGTCTCTTTTAATCTGTTAACAATTGCCCTTATTTTCTTTTTTATGCCACTCATTAGTTGAAGAAAGCAGATTGTTTTGTAGAATTTTATACATACTGGATTTGTTTGGCTGCTTTCTTGTGTTGCCATTTACTTTGTCTAATCCCTAAATTCTTTTTTTAAAAAATTTGACTTAACAGTTTAATTCCTTCAGTTAATTATTTTGGCAATAGGGTTTTATAAGTAGTGGTGTGTACTTTCTGTTGCATTATTTCAAGAGGGGAATAGTCTAATAGCCCCACTTTTATACTGGTTAAAGTTGATTAAAGGGTTCAGAGGTGGTCAGCTCAGTAAATTCATTCTAATGTTCACACTATAAAAACCTTCACTTAATAGTTTTAATATTCACTGATCATTTTCTGGACCCATTATTCCATTAGGAAACTAGAAAATGGTGATTATTCTAATACTGTCAATCCCCCTGTGTTTACTAGATTTTAAAGACTCTTTAATTTGAAAGCTTTTGATGCTATAAAACTTGGTTCACAAGGGAAAAGTAAAATATTTTCTCCCTTATTTATCAATTTTCAGAATGCTGAATTGTGCCAAAATGTCATCCATAGCTGACTGAACTATAGAGCCATAACCAAGTAAACTATGAGTGGTGTCACTACGAATTTCAAAAGACTACTTCTACTAGTTGAAGATGGGACAATATGAGCACCAAAAGTCATAGTGACCATTATGAAATAATGTCTTCTTCCTTTTATACAAGAGTTTTACACATACTATCTCATACACACACACACACACACACACACACACACGTATGCACAATTTACAATGTTAAATTTCCAGTGATTAGTTTCCTTTTTGCCATCTTTCTGATAGTTTCTAATCAATCTTGATTTGCGCTCAGACAGTAAAGATCACAAAACATCTACTTTTGGGAATTTATTATGGGAAAATAATTTCATGTTTTTCTTTGAGTCTTCAATAGTTGTACTCTTAAAAACCTCCTCTTCATGAAATTCTTAAAGCTTTCTTTTCACCATAAAATATCTGATGCAGCTTAAGTGATGAAGAACTTCTCACATTTAATACAACCTTCTATATTTTTTTACCCAGGACAAATAAGTGCTGAACAGTGAGAAAAGGCATTTCTCCCTTTATTACTTCTATAGGATATTCCTTTCATATGAATTCACTAGTACTAATAATGATACAATTACAGATAATATTTACAAAAAACATGCTGTGTAGCTGCTATTTTCCTAACTATTAACTACTTAATCCTTGCAATTCTATTACACATTGTTGTAGGCTGACTTTGAACTGGCCCCAGTGGTCCCTACCTCCTGGTATTCACATTCTTGTTTACTACTCTTCCTTTGAGTGTGGGCAACCTAGAAATTCGCTTGTAGCCAGCAGAAGACAGCAAAAGTGACAAAATATGTGGTTGGCCAAAAAGTCTGTATAGTTTTTTCTATAAAATAAAAGACACGTTTTTTCATTTTTACCAATAACTATTGATTTGGATATTTTGAGTATATCAGCTATCTCCCCCATACTATAACGTTGTTATTCTTAATGTGTTGATTTGATCACTATCAACTTCAACTTGTCTACCCAACCATGGAGCATTGTCCAGCGAGATATCTCCAGGACAAAACTTCACAAACCACTTTGACATGTTCCATTAGTTACAGCACATTTTCCATACACTGCACAAATCATTTTTGGTGTTTTACCTTTCTTGAAATAACAAAGCCAAAAATGTCGCACACTTTCTTTCATTTAATACTGAAACTGCTACACAAAAAATTCACCAAGTTTTATAAGGTTTTTTAAAATGCATGCTGACATGACAGCTGTCACAACACCATCTAACAAAATAGTTTTGAATGAAGTTAAAAACAACTAAGAGCTACTAGAGCCACCTTATAGAAAACAAACAAACAAACTTTTGGGTCAACCTAATAGTCAGTAATTAGACTAAACAAGATTATAACTTTTATAATTCTAGTAAACTCTACTGCCTTCTTGGCTTGCATGTTTTAATGAAGTAAGCAGCATGTGCAAGAGGCCCCTGGGGCAAGGAACTGAGTTCAGCTTTTAGCCAACAGTCAGAAACTGAGGAACTCAATGTGATAGCCCTCAAGAAAATAAATTCGCCCAACAACCATGTGAGGTTTGAAGTGGATCCCTTCCTCACCTGAGCCTTCAGATGAGTCTTAGCCCAAGCTAAAACTTTGATTTTAGCCTTGTAATAGACCCTGAAGCAGAAGACCCAACTAAATTATACCCAGACTTCTAACTCTTAGAATTGTGAAATGATATATATGTATTATTTTAAGTTATTAATTAAGTTGTGATAATGTATTACACAGCAATAAATAATGTACATAGGTGCTATTATCACCAACTTATGAGTGAACACAATGAGACACAGAAGTTTAAGTACCTTGTCCAGTAACATACTGGTAATAAAGTGGTAAAATGGAGATAATAATAAAGTTAAAGATTTTTATTACATTAATTGTATTATTCTCTGACATATATTTGCTAAAGATGATGTCTGAATGGTGAAGGAAGGCTTTTAAAGCAACATTTTTCTGTAATATGAAATTTCTTATGCTTAGATGTGAGCATAAAAAATATCAAAAATGAATTTCGTGATGTTCTATACACTTCAAGGCTTTCTTGTACTAAATTCCATTATGAATTTTCTGATGTTGAGTAAGGTGTGAATGCTGTCTAAAGGCCTTCTTACATTCCTTACATTTGTAGGGTTTCTCACCTGTATGAATTCTCTGGTGTTGAGTAAGAAATGAATAAAGTCTAAAAGCTTTACCACATTCCTTACAATCATAAGGTTTCTCACCAGTATGAATACTCTGGTGTTGAGTAAGCTGTGAGAGCAGTCTAAATGGTTTTCTACATTCCTTACATTCATAGGGTTTCTCACCAGTATGAATACTCTGATGTTGAGTAAGTTGTGAGAGCAGTCTAAAGGCCTTCCCACATTCTTCACATTCGTAAGGTCTCTCACCAATATGAATACTCTGATGTGAAATAAGTTGTGAGTAACTACTAAAGGTCTTCCAACATTCCATACATTCAAAAGGTTTCTCCCGAGTATGAATTCTCTGATGGCGAACAAGTTGTTGTCTTAATCTAAAAGTCTTTCCACATTCTTTACATTCATAGGGTTTCTCACCAGTATGAATACTTTGATGGACAGTAAGTTGTTGGCATATTCTAAAAGTCTTTCCACATTCCTTACATTCATAAGGCTTCTCACCAAAATGAATTTTCTGGTGTACTTTAAGGTCTGGACTACATACAAAGGCTTTCCCACATTCCTTACATTTATAGAGCTTCTCAGCAGTATGAAGTCTCTGATGTCGAGTAAGGTGTGTACACTGCCTAAAGGTCTTCCCACATGCCTTACATTCATAGGGTTTCTCACCAGTGTGAATTCTTTGATGCCTGGCAAGTTGCTGATGTACTCTAAATGCCTTTCCACATTCCTTGCATTCATAAGGCTTCTCACCAGTATGAAGTCTCTGATGTTGAGTAAGTTCTTGGAGCACTGTAAAGGCCTTCCCACATTCCTTACATTCATAGGGTTTCTCACCAGTATGAAGTTTGTGATGTCGAATAAGGTGTGCACGCTGTCTAAAAGCCTGCCCACATTCCTTACATTTATACGGTTTCTCACCAGTATGAATTCTCAGGTGCTGACTAAGTGTTGAACGACGAATAAAGGTCTTCGTACATTCTTTACATTCATATAACTTTTCTCCATTATGAACTCTCTGATATTCAGCAACAAAATTTTGCTTTTTGTAAGTGGTTATTTTTTCAGAAGTATTTTTCACTTGCCCCAAATATCCTTCTTGTGGTTCCATTTGCCTCTCAAACTTACTTTTGCATTCCCAATAATTTCTAAAAATGGAGTCCTGAAGGCAATAGCTTTTAGATGTCTCCATTATCTCCCACTGGAATAAATATGTTTCATAAATATCCTTTTCTGGAGATAAAGTATTGGTCTTATATCTGGACTCCAAATCTGAAAGAAACAAAAAAGCAAACACATGCTGTTTTTCTGTTCCGGAAAAGAGAAAACTTATGTAAAGAAATAAAAGGCACTGAAAATAATGCCTATTACAAATGATACCTATCTAATGCAAAATTGCACACCAAAATTAAAGTTTATGAAGAAAGTAGAGCTGGAGAGGACTGCTCAAATTTATGCAACTGTATTAGCAGAGCACTAATACAATAATGGGAACCTCAAGAGAACCCACAAGGCAGCTCAGCATAGCTTAAGGCTGCTTCATGACTATGAAAATGCACAAATGTTAAGTGAAAATGCTGGATTTCAGAAACTGAGACATTGCGCATGAAAACAAAGCCCAAAGCCAGTAAAGGTACCATTAAGAAGTGAAACGGGTAAAGTACAATATGTCTAGCTAGATGCCATGCAAGGCTGATTGATTGTATACGTCTCTGAGAAGGGAGCCCTGTGTGCAAGCATTTATCATTAGTTTGCTTGATACAGAGATAAAAGGGCTCCTAACAAAGCATAAAACTGAAGGTTTTTGCCTTTTCTTCTTAATATTATAAATCTACTATTCTGTCCACATTAAACTAAGAAAATTACCTGTGAACTAACTTCTATATTATACTGATATTCCCTATGTCATATGACTATTAAGTAATTTACATATGGATTATTCACTGCATTATGGAACAGATTGTATTCTCAAATATTTCAGAAAAAGTCAAAGGAAATAGAGAATGAGGAAAGTGCAGGAAAGGAGAGAAATTTGGCGATTAGAGAAACAAGATAAATCAGTGAAAGCCTGATTTAAGTATGGATGAGTCACCTGAAAATTTGAAACTAGATAAGAGGGGGTGAGGGAGATGGCAGGCGAGTGAATGGAAGTCACACTAAATTCCACCCATGGCCAGTCCGGAATTACAACTCAACTGTGGAGAAACCACCCAGAACAAACAACTGAGCAATAGCAAGAGAGATGCCAAATAACCTCGGACAAACAGAAGAATCAGCTTCGCACAATCTTATCTGGTAAGGAATACAGTAGACACTTGAGAAGGCTGACTGGGCACCCACAGGTAGCAGTGCCAGTGGGATAATTAAGTGGCTGGTTGGATCCCCCTGAAAAGAATGGGGTCTAAACCCTAAGGTAGGGGTTGGGATGGGAGTAAAAGACAGAAAACTGTACTTGAACAATAATTAAATAATAAATAAATAAATAAATAAATAAATAAATAAATAAATAAAATAAACCCTAAGCTAAGATTCCCAACCTAGAGCACCAGAGTCCAAAAAGTACAGATAAACAACCAGAGGCAAAAAGCAGCAAGGTTGCAGAGACAGAAGTCTGGAGATGCAAGACCTTTAAAAAGGCCAAAACACAAATTTTAATTTGCAGCCACTTACCCTAGGCTCTGGCCAAGGAGAGGCAAGAATGCCGGAGGAAAGACTGAGTACAGAAGCTTTAGAGAGAGAACTGAGAGAGTGGAGACTGGGATCCCAGTGTTGAAACATCCATAGAGAAGCAACTATCTTGCTCATGTAGACCACTTCCCTCCAAGCAGAAGCAGCCTAAGGGGAAACAACAGCTCCAACCCCAGGAAAGACTCTGCTCTAGCCCTGTGGTGCTTAAGCCTGACTGCTGAATACTGATTGACTAGATTAACAACAGAAAGAGAGAGCCACAGACATAGATCCCTGCCAAAAGTGGGGCAGAGTGGACTAGAGAGACTTGAGGAGAGACTGGGGACAGAGGCTTTGGGGAGAGAACTGAGAGAATAGCCGCTGGGATCCCAGTGCTGAGCCAACCCCCATACAAGAGTGGCCATCCTGCTCAGGCAGACTGCTCCCCTCTGAGCAGAAGCAGCAGCATGAGGGGAAACAAAAGCCCCTACCCTAGGAGGAATTCAGCCCCAGTCTATGGTGCTTAAATCTGACTGCCAAGTGCAGAGTGAGTAGATTAACAACAGAAGGAGACAGCCAGGAACAGTAGATCCCTGGAAGTCTTGTACAGGCTGCCTAAGGTCAGAAAGGGTCAACATCTGACATCACCAGAAGCAGATCAAGAAAGAAAAAAACAGTGGTAAATACAAGAAGCTATCAAGACAAAATCTACTGTTGTCTTCTTCATGGTTTGTGATATTTTCTTTCCTGCATAGCTTTTTAACATTAATTTCTTCTCCAGCAAGTTTGCATGTATTAAGTCACTACATTTTATACCATAGTGTATTTCAATTCACATATTTTGCTTCTCCCTTCTCTTACCTCATTATACCTTCCCCTTTTCTTGCATTATTTTCATTTCAAATTATTTTCTCTCTTGCTACAACTTGTTTCCATTCTGCACCATTACTCTTTCTCCCACATCCAGATACACAACACCAATTTTGTTGTCAATGGTCATCTAACACACTTTTTCCCTGATCTTAGAATACTTGTGTTCTCTCCCCACCTGTAGCAATCTTTTCTAGTTGGTTGTGGGTAGGGCTGTTGCTGTTGTATTTTTTTAAATTATATTTCTAGAGCTTCACTAATTTTGTATTTCAAATATCAAATTTTGCTGGTCCCTCATCTACTCTTTTTTCCTTTTACTAAAGATTTTATTTATTATTAGAGAGAAAAGAAGGGAGAGAGAAAAATAGGGAGAGAAGCATCAATGTGTGGTTGCCTCTCACGTGCCCCCTATTGGGGACCTGGCCCACAATCCAGGCATGAACCCTGCCTGGGAATAGAATCAGAGATCTTTTTTGTTTGGACAGACTGGCGCTCAATCCACTGAGCAACACCACCAATTTTTAATTTTCCCATCTTAGCCTGTTTTTTCTTTTTTGTCTTTCTTCTATTTCTCTTTCATCCTGCCCTTATATTTTTACTCTTCTTCTCTTTTTTCCCTTACATCCCTAATTTTAATTTTTCCCTGTCTAGCCTGGTTTTATTCCTGACTCACTATTTCCTCTCCCTCTATCATTTCAAAATCACTTCCCATTCTTCTAGACATCTTTTAGATTTTTGTTTCTTTTTTCCCTCTTATTCCCATACCAACTATATTAATTTTACCACATTTGTTGCTGATAGTACTGAGGTGGAACTTCTGTCCAATTTGGCTCCTATAGTTTTATTAATCATTTACTATTCTTCCTCCCTTCTTCTTTCTCTCTAACTTTATATTATTTTCATTCTGTTTAAACCTAATTCTCTACACTTCCCTTCTCATACTCAATTCCACATTCTTCCCTTTTTTTTCATGATGTACATTTTAATTTCTCTCTTTGCATTGTGCCAATTCTTTCACTTCACAACTCATAACTCTTATTAGTGTTCCTCCCTCTAACACTCTCAAAATCATTTTTCTTTCAGTAGGTCATCTCATATTTGTTCTCCTGTCTTATAATAGTCCTGATCTCTTTACACCCTTATTAATACTGGTTCATTTCCTATTGACAGTGGGATTGTGGGAGAGAGTTATTTTTGCAGGTATGGGTTTATTTCCTGGAAAACTTTGTGGTTTTGTTCTGGCAGCACCTGTACAGCAGCACACAGGACATGGTGGGTGGAGTGCCACTTTGTCCACCAGCTGGAGGGAAGGACCAACCAAAGAAACACAACAACAATCAAAATCCAATTATATCCAGAGAACCAGCATAAACAGCATAAAAGGCATCCCAAGAGCATCTACTTCAGGTGATGAAGGAGATAACATCACTAAATCTCACAGGCCTCCTACCATAGAAGTTCAGACCACAAAGACAGGCAGTCAAAACAGATCAATTTAAGAGGCAGAAGCAAACAGAAAGTCTCACAAATAATGGGAGGACAAAGAAACAATCTCTAATAGAAAGGAGGGAGGAATCTTCAGGAAGAATGTTAAATGAAATAGAGGCAAGTCAACTATCAAATATTGATTGAGTTCAAAACAGTGGTTATAGGAAAACTCAATGAACTCAGTGCAAACTACCAAAACCTACAGGGAAATATGAGGAACTTACTGCAAACTATATCAGCATAAAAAAGGACATGAAAAAAATCAACAAGGGCTAGGAGGAAATGAAGAATACAATTTTTGAAATGAAGAATAAAATAGATTGAATTAAGACCAGGCTACATGAGGCAGAGGATCGAATCAGTGAGATGGAGGACAAGGTAGAAAAAACTCACAAAAACAGCAAGAAAAGGTAAAAAGACTAAAAAAGAATGAAGAGGGTTAAGGGAAATACAGGACACATTAAAAGTAATAATATCCATATAATAGGGATCCCAAAAGGAGAAAGAGGAGAAAGGAATATAAAACCTGTTTGAAAAAGTAACAATGGAAAATTTCCCTAATTTCATGGGAGAAAAAGCCACACAAGTCCAGGAAACAGAGGGTCCCAATCAAAAGGCATATACCAAGACACATCATAATTATTGACTGGAAAATTCAGAGACAAAGAGAGTATGAATAAAGGTAGGAAGGGAGGAACAGGACATAACATGAAAAGGAGCCCGAAAGTCTAGCACCTGACTTCTCAACAGAAACATTACAAACCAAAAGAGAATGCCAAGAACTATTTCAAGCAACATATGCCAAGCAATAAAAAGCAAAGGCCTGCAGCCACGACTACTCTACCCAGCAAAGCTCCCATTTAAAATGTAAGGCAAAATAAGGAACTTCTCAGACAAAACAAGGCTAAAAGAGTACACCTCCACCAAACCAGCATTGCAAGATATGCTAGAGATGCTTTAAGAAGAGGATGAGAAACAGTGAGAGGGAGGAATACAGGTACAAAGGGAGTAAATGGCAATGAATAACTACCTATAAATAATAACTTTAAATGTAAATGGATTAAATGCTCAAATCAAAAGACACAGGGTAGTTAAATGGACATGGAAACAAGATCCTCACATATGCTGCCTACAAGAGACATACCACAGAACAAAAGAACTAAATAGACTGAAAGTGAAGGGCTGGAAAAAATATTCTAAGTAAATAGACAGGAAAAAATTCCAGGTTAGCAATCAATATTTATAAC